AATATTATATTGTTTACACAAAATATTAAAATAAAAATCAAAATTTCTATAAATATATATATAAAAATCAAATTTCCTAGGTGGGTGAAGATCAAATATTGGTGCATATATATTCTCCAAGGCTTTGCATGCATTTGATTTTGAAGCAAAACAAAATAAGGGTTACATAAATAAAATAAATATTCAAATGTATGATTTTGTGCTCAAATAAATATTTAAGAAAACAAACCTTAAATCCAAGTAATTTTTTGCTCTTGCAATCCATCTTAGAGAACTTTTCAAAGCGTTTTTATGTTTCAAACGCTTCATGTTCATTTAGGTTAGATTTTTAATATCCAGCATGCTCTTATAATGGTTGTCTCTTAGGTTTCACGTGGATCACCAATGGCAGATTCTTGAGCATTGATAAACATTAAGTGGACGAAAAAGATTTGTTCAAGGGCATTGAATATAGTAAAAAAATACTTAATTTTCTCCTCGGCCACGAAGAAAACTGAGGTGAAAGTTGTTTTTTTAATTACATTGTTTACACAGAATATTAAAAATACATTATAAATTTTTTTTCAGTGATATTTTTTATTTTCCATGTCCACGTCCCATGCAAGATGCTAGAGATCTGTTTCCAAATGAGAATTTTTATTTTCTGTACTTGCAATCCATCCCAGAGATTTGTAGTAGCAACTCATGATAAAATGGACGGTGGTGAATATTTCCTCTCTTTGGGGCAGCTACATATAAGTTAGTATTAGGATAAAATCTATTTAACGAGTGTTTTTATAGTAAAATATGATTATTGAACACCTAGGTTTTATTATAAAACCGAGATTTTATATCTTCTCCTTTTAACTATCACCTTAGTGATGACGAAAACCGAGGTGAATAATTCTTTTTTTTTGAAATTGCAATTGTTTACACAAAATATTAAAATAAATTATTTACAACAAATATTTACTCTTATTACTGAATATTTTCGTTGATATCCAGATTTAGTTGCATTCCCTTCTTTGTTCAAAGGTTAAGCTTCACCCCTTGTTGGTTAAACTCCCTTCTTTGTTTGTTAAACTCCCTTTTCTATGTAACCTTTCGAAGGTTGAACTCCCTTCTTTGTGTAACTTGAAGGAAGAATCATTTTCTGCACTTGCAATCTACCAACTGAGTACTCTTCAAAGGTTGAGATCCCTTCTTTAACTGAGGGTTATTCCAAAAATACAATAACGAAAATATTAACACTATTATGTAAGATAGAGTGCAAGGGCAGAAAAAATGTTTTGTTCAAGATAGAAGAACATTGAAGATTTTATTTGTCTTGCAATCCATCCTAAAAAATGATGCTTGTGAGTTTGGGGAGACTTCATATTAGTAAGGATTATGGTAAAATTTGTTTAACGAGTGTTTTTATAGTAAATTATTATTATTTTATGCCTCGGTTAAATAGAAAATTGAAGGGTTATAACATTTTGTAAACACTTATAAATAAATAAAATCATAAACTGCAATAGCTGGGAATCGAAGCTTGTACTGAGTTGTTTTTCACCTCGGTGTTATGAAAAATCGAGGGAATGTATGGTTTTTTATTTTTTAAATAATAAAAGATAATGCACGTCGGCTTTATACCTCGGTTTTCTATTGTTCAAGGTGAAATTTTCGTCATGAAAAGCGTTATTTGTTGTAGTGGCGGTCACAAACACCCGGAGGACTATTGATATATAATGAACTGAAGTTCAAATTTTCGTCCAAGTAAACATCATTCACTCACATTTCCAAATCGTGGATATTTACATAGAGAACATGCTCCTCTAATTTCCCTATCCTAGACCAATTATAAGCCAAAAAGAGGAGTTCTCATTCTCTAATCTAAATTCGAAGTCATCTTTAAAAGTATAAAGTGTTTTCATAATTGCATTCCAAATAACTGATTCAGGTTTCTTTTTCATATTAAGGAACGTTTCTTCACTAATATACTTATTCTTAAAAACATGGATCCATATGAAATCACAATCTCAATGGAGACCCCAAACCAGCTTATCCAACATAGAAGTATTAACCTTTCTTACTCTCCGGATCCCAAGGCCACCCAACTTTTTGGGCTTAGTGATTTTATTCCAGCTAACCAAATGCATACTAAAGTTTGAATTACCTTTCCACAAAAAGTTTCTAGTTATCCTATCAATAAAATCACAAGTTGGCGCCAAGCCACTTGCACTTAATAATTTGAGATGTAGTTCAGGACATACCTAACCAGAGTCAATCGACCAGATCTGTTTAATAATTTATGTTGCCAAGATGCTAACCTCTAGCTGATTTTCTCCTTTAAAAACAAAAGTCCTTGCGTTGAAGACGACCATGCAACATACTGAATCCTAAGTATTTCTCTAGAATAAGAGTTCGCTTGATACTTGTATTGGAGACAATTGAATCCATTTTACTCCTCTTGATGGTAGATGAGAAGAACACCTTTGATTTAGCAACATTCACTTTAAGGCCAAAAAATATGGCAAAACAATTCAAGATTCCAGAAATGATCCCTACTTGGGAGTTAGAAACCTTTGCGAAAAGAAAAACATCATCTGCAAAAAATAAACACGATAGAGGGGGTCTATTTTATGATAACTTAATATGTTTCCAATGACCTTCATTGACTTCATTGATGATTGTCTGCGACAAGAATTCCATACAAATGATGAATCACCTTACTGTAATCCTCTAGTCGAAACAAAATTTGGTAGTCATATCTCATTCTAAAGAATATACATAGAGGAGCTAGTTACACAGTGCATGACCAACTTTGTAGTTATGAGAGGAAACCCATTTTGCTTCATATAAAATTCCAAAAAAATCCCAATTCACATGATCATAGGTCTTTGCAAGATCTATTTTGGACACCGTGTCAGCTTTTTTCTATTTAGATTTACACATATAATGAATTGTTTCTTGAAGGATAATGCCATTGTTAGTTATTCCTTTACTAGGAAAAAAAACTATTCTCGAATGGTCAACTATCTATTTTAGATAAGGACGCAATATGTTAACCATAATCTTCATAATAAACTTATAAATAGTGTTGCACAAGCTAATGGGTCTGACTTCCTTAAAAATTTAGGGGCAGTCTACCTTATGAATTAAAGCGATAAGAGTCTCAGAAAGAGAGGAGTGAAAGTTACCTATCATAAACGTATATGATATAAGTTGGACAATAACATCTCAAACTATATCCCAAAACTGTTTAAATAAAATACCCTGGAATCCATCAGGGTCAGGCGCCTTGAAAGAGTACATTTGATTCAACTCATAAGTAATTTCTTCCCTCGTCACCTGCTGAGTCAAAGGCTTCTTTAGTAAAGATCGAAGCCTTAGTTGAGCCACTCATACTAGCAGGGAATATAGGAGATGCAAGGCAGAAAAAACCTTTAAAAAAAGTCAATGATTCTTCCCTGAAAATAATGTCATCATTGCACCAAACACAATTGGGAAGATGAATGTCATGGACTTTATTTCTCTTCCGCCTAATTACCGTTTTGGTATAAAAAATTGGTGCTATGATCTTCCAATTTAATCCAATCATCTTTAGCCTTTTAATACCAATGAATCTCCTAATGCGCAAGGATCTCATCATACCCCCGTTGAAGCTCCTATTGGAGATTAATTAATCTTGTTGAATCTATTTTCTCAATAAAGTGTTGGATACCCCTGAGTCTCTTCTTAATGTTATGCTTCCATTTGCTGATATTGCCTAAAGTTTCCTTATTAAAAAGGATAGAATCATGCTGCACATTTTGGAGATATGTTATAATAATATCATTTAAGGATTTCTCCCAAGCATTCTGGACTATATTAAGTATTTCGGGTGTGATTCAAGTTGCCTCATACCTAAAAGGAGAATGGGGTTGTGATCAGAATAAAATTTACACAACACCTTAACATATAAATCATAGAAGGTTGTATGTCAAGGTTATATCAATCTCCACACAAATTCTCGCAAACCTTCCACTCTCTACATTCAGGGTGTTAGTATCTATCTTAATAGGAATACCCATAACAAATGTCAAACCAAGAAGGACACTTTCATTATAATACAATAAGTTAAACCTTGAAAATCGAATCCAAACTAGAGTATTTTCCACCTTTACGAGAGGAGATGCAAAGTTTGGAGTCCATCAAACCACTGCCAAATAATGGTCAAACAATATCCACGGACCTTCTAACACAATTTTCTCTCTATTTGCGTGCAGTTCACACTTGACCATAAAGAAACTATTGTCACCGTCCATGATCTCAAAACCCCAAGTAAGTGTTCACATCTTCTTCAACCTATCCTTCATCAAATGATAGTCCACACTCTTCCCAATGAATTTTATGATTAGCGTCTCCTTTCAAGAATTACACAGTTTCTAAAAAAATTTCTTGTCCATCATAACCTTTGAGAGCAATTAGTTTTCTCCTTTAAAAGAGACTTTTATAAGTTTATTTTCAATCAAGTTCACTTTCTTTTGGTGACTCTTTAACCTTTAGTGAGAATATTTCAGAATAACGATCTAAAAAGCTTAAATAAACCTCTATCTAATGGCTTGACCGACATCGACAACGTGAATGTGACAATTAAAATTAATATTAAATATTTTGAAATAATACTTTTGACTAAAATATAAAAGACGATTGAATTTAAATTATTAATGTAATATTAATATAAGTTACATTTAAAAATAAATTGAGCACAAATTTGAAGTCAGAATGAAATAATTACACCAACTTGTTTTTGCAAAGGGAGCTGATTCTAAAAATTTCACCAAACTACTGCCAACAAAAAACTAACTGCTCTTTCTCTCTCTACATCACTCTCTCTCCAATATGACTTTGTGTGTTTGTCCTATAAGTTAAGTTATCAACAATCATAACTGTTGCTTAACGCCTCTCTAATAACCTCCACCCTACTTTTTCCATTTCCGTTTCTCATCTCTTCTCTTCAAATCACACTCTCTCTCTACCTTTCTCTCATCACATCAATGGACACTCCTCATTCTCCTTCTTCTTGTTCCTCTTCTTCCTCCTCCTCCTATTCATGGGAAGGACACGCTGCCGACACAATCACTTTAGAGCCAGAAGAGCCGCAAACGCCGATAGCCGTCCGGCGCGCTCTCCAGCTTTTGAAATCCGGCTTACCGGAGTTACGGCTCCAAGCCGCTCGCGACATCCGGAAACTCACGAAAACCTCCCAGCGGTGTCGGCGTCAGCTCTCTGAATCTGTCGGTCCACTCGTTTCTATGCTCCGAGTCGACTCGGCCGAGTCGCATGAACCCGCGCTTCTCGCTTTGCTTAATCTCGCCGTCAAAGATGAAAAGTAAGCAACTACTTTCTCTAACAGAATTTTCTAAAAGAAAATTATATTACAAATCTGAAGCTGGTATAAAATTAGTTTAATTCAATTCTTGATTATTTATTGGTAGTGGCTCTTTTTTTCCATTTTAGATTTTCTTGTTTCAAGTGCTTTTGATTTTTATGGGAAATTGTGCGCTTTATTATTAAAAGTACGCTATGCCTTGAAGCCACGGACTTTGAGATTCGATCCAAAATTTAAAATTAAACTTCAATTTGGGGTTTGTGTTTTTTTAATTCTTTAAATTTTCTAATAATTTTGTATTTTTTTCTTTTGTAGATCCTTTGTTTTACAATAGCATATACAGGGTACTAATACTTTAAGATTTATGGATTTTCATTGACCGGTGTATTTGTATAAGAATTATTCTTCAATTCTTGGATTCTGTTCTTGTCTGGGTCCCTTCATTTTCTTTTTCTTTCATTTTTTTTCTCTTCCATATCTCTTTGCATTTCATTGGCTGGTGGGAAAAATATCGTCTTTTATCTTATTTTTTTGTTATTGGTTTTTATATTCTTGCATTTTTTTTTACATAAATGGTTGTTAGCAATAATGGGTTGGGGGTGTAGAGGTAGGTTAACAATACCAACTATCTTTGACATGAATTAAGAAAGCTACTTTTCATGACTTTGTTCATCTTACTTTGGTAATTTACCATAGTTTTGTGATTCATTGAATTCGCAGTAATAAAAGAAAAAATAGGCCATCAAATTAGGTTTTTTCTGTTATATTTCCATTTTTTATTTTTCATGGTGATGACTGATGACTATGTCATCTTGTGAGTACTAGAATTGTCAATTAAGTTGATTTTTTAATGATTATTGTTTTTGATAACTTGTATGAATATTACCTATGCACTATGTTGTTTTCAGAAAGAATTAGATTCTTTGTTGTCAAAGCTTATCCAATTGGGTAGTGGATTTCTTTTGGTTCTTCTCATGGTGCACTTTCTTTTTTACCTTTGGTTTCTTTTCCTTTTTCCGCTTATTTCTTCTTTCTTAAGTAACCTCCTTCCTAAGGTTCAACTTGTTCTCTTCTCGTCACCTCTTTTTATTATTACATTTTTAAACTAGTAAATTAACTATAGTATACTCATTTTTTATTGAGGTTATGCGTGTCTGAGGGGGTGGAAAATGACTATTAACTAGTTCAAAAAATAAGGAAGAGCGTGGAATTGTGAATAGACACTGTGGTAGGAGGTATTGATTTTCATATCTCACTCATGGTTGCTGAGAGATCACTTTCATTTTATGGGAGTGACCAAATTTTGTGAGGTGGGAACGAGTTGCACGCTAGTTTCAACCTCCCTACATTTATGTTATGCCAAGCAATTGTGAAGGGATTTTCATTCTAAATTTCCTACCCTCTCATCTACTACCTATATTCAAAACAAGAATGAACTAAGATTTCTAGTTTTAGCTAGTGTTTTAATATACTTTTACGTTTCTATCTCATTCTCTCTCTCACCTTTCTTAGCTCCTAGAGGAGTTGTTGTAAGGGCCTATCTTTGTTGGACTACAATAAGTATTATCTTGTGTGTGGTACCTTACCTTGTGCTTTTTATTTCAGATTCCGTAGTACTGATTAACTTTTTGCTAAATAAATTTTGGTTATAATTCAGTCATATTCATAACTGGTCTTATCTTGCAGGAATAAAATCAAAATTGTGGAGGCCGGAGCATTAGAACCAATACTTAGTTTCCTCAAGTCACAAAATCCAAATCTTCAAGCATCTGCAACCGCGGCTTTGCTCACACTATCTGCCTCTTCAACCAACAAACCATTTATTAGTGCTTCTGGTGCTATTCCCCTTCTTGTGGAGATTCTTAGAGACGGGAGCCCACAGGCGAAAGCTGATGCAGTAATGGCTCTCTCTAATTTATCAACATACCCTAATAATCTTAGCATTATTCTTGAAACAAATCCAATCCCTTACATAGTTGATATCCTCAAAACTTGCAAAAAGTCCTCAAAAACAGCTGAAAAATGCTGTGCTTTGATAGAACCTTTAGTGGATTATGATCAATGCAGAACTGTCTTGACATCTGAAGAAGGTGGGATTCTTGCAGTTGTGGAGGTTCTCGAAAACGGCACTCTCCAAAGTAGGGAGCATGCCGTTGGAACACTATTGACACTGTGCCAGAGCGATCGATGTAAATACAGGGAACCGATTCTTAGAGAAGGTGTCATTCCAGGACTACTTGAGCTCACTGTTCAAGGAACACCTAAGTCTCAGATTAAAGCGCGTACCCTTTTGCAACTACTAAGAGAATCTCCTTATCCAAGAACTGAAATTCAACCCGACACTCTTGAGAATATAGTATGCAACATCATATCTCAGATTGACGGGGATGATCAATCTGGTAAAGCAAAGAAGATGCTGGCTGAGATGGTGCAAGTCAGCATGGAACAGAGTCTGCGACATTTACAGCAAAGGGCACTTGTGTGCACCCCAAGTGATCTCCCCATAGCTGGCGCTTCCGAAGTTTCTTTTAAGTAATAGTTGAAGTTGGCCAACAGTTTATCTTTTCCCTCATCTTCTCCACCTCTTTTGTTTTCTACTTGGGGCTTGTGAGATAAAATTTCCATATAAAAAAGGAATTAAAGGGAATAATACATTATGAATTATGCCAGTCCAGGCCATTGTGGAGGTATCGAGTCGAGTGACTGGTAATTGTCAATAAATTAAGTTGTAATACATTAAGAAACATGGTTTTGTAGTTGATTTGTAAAGAAACTGCTGTATAAAACTGTATTAGTAAAAGTTCTTTGTTCTGATATTCTTTGTTCTGTATTAAACTAGAGTGAGTTCTACTGAGTAGGACAGCGTGGTACACTGTTACCACGTCAGTCTTTTTTATTGCGTGTCACCTCTCACTTTCTATTTTTTATTACACAGTGTAATGTAATTGTTAGTTTTAAAAGCAACTACTCACATTTTCTAACTTTTACATTCCATTGTTATTTTTTATTTTAACTCCTAATTTATCTCTTATTTTTTATAAACCGACCTAAAGAAATTATATTATATATAAAGAAATTATATTATATATAAAGAGATTATCAACCAATTGATTAATAGAGTTGACGAGACTTGTGACGATGTCGCCTGATTCAATCTTCTCTAACAAAATAACAGTCTATTTCAAATGTTTGATCTTTTCATGAAAGACTGAATTTAAAGCAATATGCAATACAACTTGATTATCACAAACAAGTGCCATTGATCTTGCTCAACTTGAAGTTCTTTGACCAACTATTTTAATCAAATGAGTTCACTTGTTGGCATTGTCATGACCCTATACTCTGCCTCGACACTTGATCTTGCAATTAAATTTTGTTTCTTATTTTTTCAAAATATAAGGTTTCCTCCAACAAGTAAACAATACTCAGAGGTGAATCGTTTATCCATGAGTGACCTTGCCTAATCGACATCGGAGTATCAAACTATATGAGTATGTCCTTTATCTTCTTACACAAGGTCTTTTCCTGGAGTACATTTGCTGTATCTCAGAATCTGGACAACAACATTCATGTGTTCTTGGCAAGGAGAATTTAAGAGCTGACTTACCACACTAACTACAAAAGAAATGTCTGGGTGAGTGACTTTGAGATAATTCAATTTTCCTTGCCAAGAAAGGGGTTTCCCCTGTTGAAGTGCGAACGTATGTACGATACCCATGCAGAGCAAAATGGAGAATCTCATGTCAATCCTTGTATGTAACAACCATCTTCTGAATGATCTTCTTAATGTTCTTATTAACAACTTCAACAACCTCATTTATCTTAGGTCTGTAAGGAGAAGAATTATAATGCTCAATCTTAAACTCATCGCATAATTCCTTTATCATCTTGTTGTTCAGATTAGACCCATTATCAGTGATAATCTTGCTCGAAACACCATACTGACAGATGATTTGGTTCTTGATAAACTGGACCACTACTTGCTTGGTCACATTGGCATATGATGCCGCTTCAACCCATTTGGTAAAATAGTCAATAGCCAACAAAATGAAACAATGTCCATTCGACACCTTAGGCCCAATCATTCCAATCATATAAATGCCCCACATGGAGAAAGTCCATGGAGAAGAGATAACATTGAGAGGAGTTAGAGGCACATGAATTTTTTCAACATAAATCTGGCATTTATGGCACTTCTTCACATATTTACAACAGTCAGATTCCATTGTCAGCCAATAGTAACCTGCCCTTAACTTATTCTTAACCATTGCATATCCATTGACATGGGTACCAAAGGATCCTTCATGAATTTCTTTCATCAACATGTATGTTTCATGCTTGTCCACACATCTGAGCAAGACCATGTCATAATTTCTTTTATACAGCACATCATCATTCAAGAAGAAACTACCAGTCAATCTTCTCAAAGTTTTCTTATACTTCTTAGATGCCCCAAGTGAGTACTCTTGATTCTGAAGAAAACATTTAATATCATAATACCAAGGTTTATCATCAACAACCTCTTCAACTGCAAACACATGAGTTAGTCTATCAAGACGCGTAACATCAATTTTGACACATTATTCCAATGACTTACCACAATCATGGAGGATAAAGTCGCTAAAGCATCAGCCATTCGATTCTCTGCTCTGGGTATATGGTGAAACTCAACCTTATTGAAGAAAGTTCAAAACCTTCTTGCATAATCACAATAAGGAATCAAATCAGATTGATGCGTCTCTCACTCCCCTTTAATCTGATTAATCACTAGGGTTGTATCTCTGTGCACATCAAGAATCTTGATTCTTAAATCAATAGCTTCTTCCAGGCCCATAATACATGCTTCATACTCTGGTGCATTATTTGTGCAGGTGAACATCAACCTTGCAGTGAAAGAAATATGAGAACCATGAGGATTAATGATCGCGACTTTCTATGTCTAACAAATCTAACTGCAAGTGCACAGTCTATCGCGTAGTAATAATAGATATCGATCCCACAGAGACTCGTAATCAATCTAGTATTATCGGGTGTTACGGTGTTTAGCTAGGTCGGTAAGGTTTTAAGTGAATAATAGCATAATAAATGCGTAAACTAAAGGGAACTAAAGCTTTTACTTAAGATATGAATTTATGAATCGATATGCAATAATTTTGTTCTTCGGGGATTCGACAAATTACTGGCGTATTAAGTGTTTTCAAACTTAGTTTAAGAAGAAAATAGTGATCTAAAGACTTTTGTCTCACGATGGTTGTCGACGCTAGTCGCAACTCTAAGGCGGAACGTATGTTGTCGCTATCCCGTTCGGGGTTAAAGTTACTTTTTGAAAATCTCTAAGTTCTAATCCTTTTTAAAGCGCTTTCGCTGTTTTTAAATCGAATGCCTAGGTTTTACTATCTGGTCTTAGCCGCAGTTGTCGCTTGTTGGTTCGTACCTTAGTTAATTTCCCACTGTCGTGGCAAAACTATTTTTAAATAAGTTCTCGTTGTCGCGACGAACATTTACTTAGAAATTGTAATTAAAAACTAAAACCATAAATGAGTTTTGAAAAGAGAAAGATTACGCCAATTATTATCAAATCCCGTCCGAATTATTATTACATATCGACTACTGCAATTTAGCTAGACATGGAAGAAGAATTGATAATGCATAAATAAAAGCAGTAATTTAGAACATACATCATAATGAAAATTGCAATTAAGGTTAAAATGAAAACCTGGAAATATCCCAATTGGCTTTTGGGCAGATCCTCCACAATGTTGGCAGGATTCTGGTCTTTGTGCCAATTTATCGTACAAGAAAAGGGAAGTACAAAAATACCAAAGAATACAGAGAAGAGAAAGAAAAACAAATAAGAATATGATGAAGGTAAAGTTGCTCTGAAGATAAATTGGCAGCACTTCGTTGTCTTGAATGCGGCTCCCTTTTTCAGGTCCCAACCTTTTCCTTTTATAGAGAGAGAGAGTATCTAACGGTTATTCCTCCAGGAAGTGGGTTTGAGGCAGAAAAGTAGGAGTTAGTGGTCACTCTTTTGGTCTTTGAGGGGGAATTATAGCACGTGACCTCATTCTGCACGTTCTGGGTGCATGACGAGCGTAACGGCTATGTGACGGTCGTCACATCAGTAGAACTCGTTTCTGCTGTTTTTCTCTTGGTTTTTCATCTGGTTTTCACCTGTTTTTGCTCCTTTTCTTCATATTGCTTTTCTTGGACATGTTCTTTGAATACCTGCATAATACTTAGACAAATAGCATGGAATGCCCCGAATTCGGAGTGAAACCAGTCAAATATTAGTTAAAACACATGTCATTTTATATATACAATTTCGCGTTATCAAACTCCCCTAAACTTGAATCTTTACTTGTCCTCAAGTAAAAGTTGGGAAAAGTTAAAAATGTGGCAAACACGCGGCACACTTCTCCTTTCCGAAAGGTTTTTTTTTTCTTTTTCAAATCGTAAGTTAGGAAGGCTGGGCCTTAAATTGAAACAAAACACATACGGTGGTGACACTGAATTGTAAGTCTTCGAAGGCCTCCCTTTTATGCAAGCCAGTTCCAATCATGCTACTGCAGCTTGGCGTCAAGTTCCTTGCAACAAGTTTTACCCGGTTTGTTCTGGCGCAATCACATTAATCCCGTTATCCATATACTTTCATGGCAAGTCAACCTGTTAGTGGCTATGATCTCTTTTCTATTTCGATTCTTCTTTGCACATAAGCTTATGCTATTGATTTCCAAAGACTTTCTGTACCGTTAGGCTAAATGCTCGGGTGAGGAGCACCTAACTTAGAAGGAACATGTCTTTATACTCAGGCTATATGGCTTTTCTTCTTCATGATTTTTCATTTTGAACTAGAGATCACACACTTATTTGCATCGGTTTCATTGCTTAGAAGCTTTTAGGATGGTGCTGACTACTTGTATAAACTACTGGGGGCTACGTTTGAGTAGGAGCTTGAAGCTTCGGTACGTGTAGGTAGTGAAACGGACTCGCATAAACTGGAGGTCTAAGGTGTCAGGACGGTAATGGAATTGTTAGAATTTTCTTCTCGGGATTTCCATACTTGATTGAACTTTGGCGGGTCCTCGTGATGCTTTGAGGAAAGGAGTTTAAAAATTTCTTTGTATATGTCATATGAAGCGCGAAGAGTTCACGTAACGGAGATATATATATATATATATATATATATATATATATATATATATATATATATATATATATATATATATATATATATATATATATATATATATATATATATATATATATATATATATATATATATATATATATATATATATATATATATATATATATATATATATATATATATATATATATATATATATAAGAGCTTATTTGCCAAAAATTAAAATTACTTTAAATTGAGAATTCGAAAGAAAAAGTACAATGGGAAATGGGAAATAACATAAAAAAGGGAAATGAAAGGGGAAATAACGGGCCTTCGGCAGCAGCTGCTTGTGATGGCTCAGGCTGGTCGGCTCTGTCTAGCTCCTCTTGAACTTCGTCCCTGGG